AAGGATAATAGAGCTGGAGAGATGGATGAGTAGCTAAGTAATTACTGCCTTCCAGAGGACCTGAACTTAGATTCCTGCATCCAGGTCAGGAAGCTTATAACTCCCTGTAACTCCATTCCAGGGGGTCTAGATGGTGTCCTCTGCTGGGCCACGCAGGTGTAACACACACACACACACATACACACACACACACACACACACACACACACACACACACACACAAAGGAGAGGAAGGGAAGAAGGAAGAAAATAGCTGCTAGAGGGATGTCTCGGCAGTTAAAAGCACTTGCTGCTCTTCCAGAGGACCCAAGTTTGGTTTCCAGCATTCACATCAATGAGCCTGTAACTAGAGCTCCAGGCTATCTAGTGTCTCTGGCCTCCATGGGCACATGCACATGTAGATACATACCTGCCTACACATAAATAATAATCTTTTTAAAAACAAAGGACATGAAATGTGCTAAGGTTAGACATGTAGTCAGAATTACTCAGTGTGAAACTAACCTACAAACATAGCCATTAGCCAAGATGTAAAAATATTATAGAAAAAAAGTCAAGAAAAACGATCTCCAATAAAATTAACTCTAAGGTCAAAGCCAAGCCTTCACTATGTGGGGCTTTCCATCTCTCGGGAAAGGGATAGAGCAAGTTTCCTATACTCTTTTGGGACACTGGAGGTCTTCAATCAACAGGCTGGACTGGTCTGCCTCCTTACCCAGGAGAGCTCTCATTCACTTATTCTCTTACATTTCTGAGCCAAGTGGCAGAGAGGGGACCTATTCCTCAGTGCTTCATCATGAAGGCACTGCTCACTGAAATGCTGGTGAGTTCACAGAAAACTGCCTGCATTAGTGAGCCAGCCGAAACATCCCCAGGACCTCCAGATACACGAGGTAAGTGTACCTGCCCAGCCACATTAATCATCTCATTTCCCAGTGAAATCACAACCAAGAGGATTCAAAAAGCTTTCCAAAAGCACTGGGCTATTTTCTTGCTGGTGTTCTATTTCTCATTTTTGAAATGAGTAAAGCAGAAATCAGTGGAATGGCTGCATTAGGTAATTGAGATTTTAAATGGTTTTGGCTGAGGAAAACTGGCCTGCCAGAGTTGATTTGCAGTTCTGAGAGAGGGACAAATAAAGCATGAAGGACAGTGGTTCTTGAATTCTGTTTAATCAGAAATTTTCATGGGAAAACATCTGGATCTCCCTCTCCACTGGTTTCTCACTGAAATTTAGCCTTTCCCGTAAGCATGAATGTAGGTGAGAAACCATACTATTACTGGCAATTTCTATGACATTGTCAACAAAAGAAATCAACACCTTATCACATTTCAGTACAGATCTTATGTTTATCCTTATTACATCATAATTATATTACTCAATGCACCACTCTATCCAGCTATGTAACAAGCAATAAATCAACACAAATATCAAACTATAAATTTTGAAAACTAATATAACCTATTTCCAGCTAATCTTATTTAATACATTTTTCAAATGTTTCTAAAAAGAGTCTCAGTTTTCACTAGGCAGCTCTCAAAAGAATCTAAGATACAAGAATATTAAGAAATCTTGGTTGGAGGTGGAGAGAGGACTCAGTGGTCATGGAGTCTGACTGCTCTTTTAGAGGACTGGAATTCAATTCCTAACACCCAAGGCAGCTCACAATCAACTTGGAACTGCAGTTCCAGAGGTTCTAACACCATCTTTCTAACCTCCAAGAGGACCAAGCACACCAGTGGTGCAGACATATAAGCAGGCAAAATGCCCACACACATAAAAAAAAAACATTAAATCATACTAAAAGAAAAGAAGCCAGGTGGTGGTGCACACCTTTAATCCCAGCACTCGGGAGGCAGAGGCAGGTAGATCTCTGTGAGTTTGAGGTCAGCCTGGTTTACATAGTGAGTTCCAGGACAGCTAGAGCTGATACACAGGGAAACCCTGTCTTAAAAAAAAAGAAAGAAAGAGAGGGAGTGAAGGATATAGGGAGGGATGGAGGGAAGGAAGGGAGGGAGGGAAAAGAGGGAGGGAGAGACGGAGGGAGAGAGGGCAGGCAGGCAGATAGATCCTCAGGGAAGTCAGAAAACTGGAGCAGGAGGTTCAGAAGTGCAGGGCCTCCCTGAGCCATGCAAGGTTCAGCCTGAAAGAACTCAGTAACCACCTTGTCTCAAAATAAAAAGAAAATTAAGGCTATAGCTCAGTGATAGAGCACTTGTCTAGCACACATGAGGACCTAGGTCTAATCACCTGTGCCAGGACTAGAATGGGGGGGGACGCAGACATTGTGAGGAATCGTCAACATACTGAGTTCAAAATTTATATTTTACTCCTAAAAACAGGTCTGGAAGTGCATGTCCATAATCCTAGCCCTCAAGAGGTCAAGGTGAGAATTAGAAATCTGAGGTCATCCTCAGGCTACACAGCAAATTTGTCTGGGATATGTAAGAACTACTGCCTGGGTATGGAACCCTCAGGCACATTTTACCCTTGAACTGGCCCATTAAGTGGTATCAACATCTCATTCAAACATAGTTTTGAGACTTAGCAAGGCAACGGAAATGAGTATGGTTTATTAAAAAAATGTATTAATGTTAGTTATTATTTGGTACAAAGACTCCAGACAGGGAGCTAGAGCGATGCCTCATCAGTTAAGAGCACTTGCTGCTCTTATGGAGAACCTGGGTTTGGTTTCTAGCATCCATAACAGTACACAGCTACACAGTACAGCTACCTGTAACTCTGATCTGCCTCTCTCTTCTGGCTTCCTCAGGCACTAGGTACATACCTGATGTACATACATGTAGGCAGGCACTCACATATGCACATGAAAATAAGTAAGGTTTTAAGAGAAGACACTAATGGGTCGGGTGGTGGTGGTGCGCACCTTTAATCCCAGCACTCGCGAGGCAGAGGCAGGCAGATCTCTGTGAGTTCGAGGCCAGCCTGTTCTACAAGAACTAGTTCCAGGACAGGCTCCAAAGCTACAGAGAAATTCTGTCTCGAAAAACCAAAAGAGAGAGAGGACACTAGGCAACAGGGTGATGAAAGGCCAGGTGTTTCTTCAAGGCCGCATAGCAGCTCCACACAATAATGAGGTATCAAACACTGCCAATCAACCGGCTTCTGGAACAGGATGCACCAAAAAAAAAAAAAAATGCTGTCCCAAGAGGGATGTTATGCAGCTAGTGCCACAGTGAAAATCAGCAACTACTGTTGCCTTGTCTGAGCAAGTCTTGCCAGAGAGAAACACTCAGTGGGAATAAAATGCTTAGAAAACAAAGCTGTTGGATGAACATGAGCAGCTCCACTTAAGAGTTTCTGACAGAGACCAACACAGAACACAGAACTAACACACATAGCTCCCTTCCCTCTCTCAGGAGTCATGAGAACAGGATAAAACCGATCGATTTATTGACAGACAAATGACAGGCAGAAATACAAACTCTTGTGGCAGAGAAAGAGAAAGCAAGGACATGACTATTCAAACTACACAGGAGGGAACAGCGCATCTTTTTTATTTTGCTATCAACAGTGCTCTGGCCCATTAAAAGCACCACCAACTCAGCTTTCCCCTGGCCCAGTTGGATCAGTTTTATAAATATTCAATCACATTTCCAAGAGAAAGCAGCATTTCATATCTTAACAAATCAATTCTTATTATCTGCTGTGTTGAATAGAATTTTTAAACACTACCCATATTTGTCTGCCTTTATTAAAAAGCTAGGACACATATATTCCACTGTTGAAGGAAACGTTCATGCCACACAACACTAGTCACGAAGAACAAGCATTGCTGGCTCATTAGCATTTCTTTAAAAGGCAGCCAAAGCAAGGGTGGGTTTTAGCTAGTGCACAGGGCTGGGGGTGGGGAGTGTTCGTTCAGTTTGCATGTTTCTCTGTTAAAATAATAAGGGTTCAAAACTGAGATCCTCCTTCAGCAAATACCAAGAAATTAGTCTGAATTCACTTTTATCGCTCAAGATAAATTCAACACTGCTTTCTTTATTTTCTCCCGAATGTATTTCCCAAGTAGCCTTGCATAACCTTATGCTCTTCATTTCTATCACTTGGCTTAGCAGGACCTGAGTCACCAGAAATATGAGTGCATCTGTGGTTGCGGCCTCAAGTTACTCCTCAAGTACCAACCAGGTCATGCTTCGCATTAATAATATAGCCCTACAGCTGATACACTTGTTTTCTTTACTCCAAAGAAGCAAAAATTGAGCTGGGTGTGGTGGTACAAGCTCAGTTCTCAGGGCTACATAACAAGCTCCAGGTTAGACCAGGCTACATACAGACTGTTACTTTGTCTCAAAACAAACAGTGAAATGGGGGAAGGGGAGGAACAATTGGCTCCAAGTAAAATTTTAACTGAGGCAGTACAACCAGTTTCAATCCTCCACAACATAAAAGTCTTCCGACAAATTGCAGAAGCATTTGGGTGAAGTGTCTACTTGTCTGCTTTAAACCTAGCCATGAACAAAAAAATATTGTTAAACTCATCTAATTTGAACATGACTCTCAACTCCTTTATTCTGTAATGTTTCTTCTTTCATAGCAATCCAAACTACAGCAAAAGTCTGCACTCATTTTAAAGGTCATTTGGTATAGCCTATATCATTTGTTTCTGTCTTAGGAGGAACAATGAAGAACGTTCAGTGTTGGCCCTGAATCCACCTCACTAAACATTACATTTCCAAGGTTTTACTTACTGTGAAAATACCACAAATGAACCAATTCCACTGATGGAGTAGAAATCTTGTACGTACAATACGAAAGACAATTCAAATTGGTTGGATTGTTATCCACAATACATACAATATCAAGTTGATATTCACATGTACTCTGTTTTGTTTTCGAGACAGGGTTTCCTTGTGTAGCCTTGGCTGTCCTGGAACTCACTCAGTAGAGCAGTCTAGAATATACCTTTGTCTAGGCCATCAGAAGTAAGGAAGAGGAGAGTGGGCTGAAATAAAGGGACAAAACACACGATAGGTCTCTTTCGTAATTTTAATTGAAGCACTGCTAATCATGTCTTTTGAAAGCACCAAATTTTAAGATCTAAGTCAATTTGGGGGTGGGGGGGAGAAACACTATCAGGAACTTCTCTCCAGAACAAACAATGATGTTTATTCCTCCACATGTCCAAATTAAAGTCTACTGAAGCCAAAACTAAAACCCAAACCCCACACAGAGAAAAAAAAAAAGATAGATCCTAAAGTCACATTCTAGGGGGTCAGTGCATTCCGCAGTCTTCGCTGGGCTGTCTAATTGTCCTTCAGCTGACTTTCAAAAATTAACACCCTAGCTCATCAAAATATACATTTTTTCCATTGGCTTTTTTAAATTAAAAATAATAATTAAAAACAAACAAAAAAAAAACACTTGAAGGAATTCATGACCAGTTGCCTGACTCGGTTGATGGCATACAGGGCAAATGGAAGTCAGGAAGGCGGCTTGCAGCACACGACATTCAGGGGATGCTCATCTTTAAGGCTTAGCTTTCTTCCAAACAGTGTAAAATACCCACCTGGAGCGGGAGTCAAGGAATAAGAAAGGCCATTCAAGGAGGAGCAGGTACCACTTAACATGTGTATCTGGGCCAACAAATTGAAAGATGGACAGGGATTTATGGGCGTAGGTTGGACACTGTGGGGATAGGACAAAGGGCTTTTAAACAAGGCACTTTGCAGCATGGGCTGGCCACCATTTGGAACAAAGACTGAGGAGTACACTACTCAGTTCTACTGCTTCTGCTCTGGAACTCTCCCAAAAGTCTGAAGCATCAGTGTGAGAAGAATGAAGAAGGGAAATTGGATGGGAGGAAAGGAAAGGAGAACAGAGCAGGGAAAGGTGAAAGAGTAGAAGATCAGCAGGACATGGGACTCTAAGACCCAGAGCCTTCTCCCTATCACCCTATTCCTCAAAGCACTCAACACGAAAAAGACCCTCCTGAAGGGGCAACGGAGAGTGAAGATGGAGATGCTAAATCTCCCCAAGCCACTGAAGGACATGGCTACCCAGCAACCAGAGTATCCCCCTATTTAGACAGAGGGCCTAGGCAAGAAAGTTCTTGCCTCTTACTACGCATCCAGCTTCCCACCTGCCCAAGCTAAGAGCCACTCCCAGGGCCAGCAGCATTGCAGGGTCTCCCTGATAGCAACTGCCATCATGGGAAAAAAAAAACCTGGACTCAGCTTGCAGCTATGGAAGCTACTGACTGTGGACTATAGTTTACCACAAATATGGCTAGTCTTGCTAGTCAGCTTACTCTGGGCATCCCCCATTTTCCCTTTCATATGCTGAGATTACAGGCAGGCCATTAAGCTTGTATGGTGGACTTCTAGAAATTCAAACCATTTCTGGAGTTTTGGGTACACATCAGTACCCTAGAGGACTGAGGAACAGGCCTTTGGGCTCCACCCCTACATTCTCGTTCGGGTGATGACAGAAGAATTTGCATATCTAACTAGTTCCCAGGTGATGTGCCTGGCTAACGTCTATCTTTGACAGCAATTGTTTCCGCTTTAGATCAGTAGGACTTAATGATTAAAGGCCCCTGGGAAACTATGACAAGGGACGCCCCAGTCTCTAAGATTCAGAAATAAAGCCTACTTTTTCAAGTTCCTAGGAAGAGTCCCCAGTTAAGTTTGAAACTCAGAGTTTATACACTACAGAGCTAATTCTGCTTGTTGTTATGATTAATAATGGCAGCATATGATGTACTTAGATGTTCTGAAACGGCAGCACATAATGTCATGGTCAAAGGATACAATTCCAAGTATGAAGGGACACAGACAATCTCTTTTGAGAATTCCACAGGACAATACAGGCGCCCCAGCTGTTCTTCATAGAGTGACAGGGCTTCAGTCAAATTGACACAGTTCCCCTAAATCAGAGAGAAAAGGAAACATTGGGATTGCCAAGTCATACTCACTTGAAGGTCTCTAATAAAGGAAGAACAATGGGAGCTTGAGAGAAAAGTTCATCTTTAAAAAATGAGATAAAGCCTCTATACTTCCACAGATTGCACTGATTCTATTTATGGGTTCATTAGTTCATTCTCTTTCTACCTCATTTACGGAGCTATTTCAAATTACTGAAGTATGAAGCAAAAGAAAGCAGTGAAGCCAATTTCTCATTAGTGACATAGTTCATTGTATCCACACCACACAATTTAGCATATTCATCCACATAACCCACTCAGTAAACTTTTTTTCAGTAATAGTTACAACTGCATTGAAAACTGAAATAATCAAAATAATGCTCTTGCTTTCCATGCTGATTTAAACTACGTCCCTTAAACAGCAACAACAAAAGTCCTGACAGAGAATTGCAGTCATACCTCATCCCTTCCTCAAATTCTGATTTTAAAGTGTATCATTGTGCGTAAACCTGGTGTGTGCATGTGTTACTGCATGAGTGTGACAGTCTGAAGATCACTTGCTGGAATCAGTTCTCTCCTTCTACCTTTCTCGTGGCTTCTGGGAATCAAACTCAGGCCGTCAGGCTTCTGCTGCAGGAATGTGACATGAAAACTTCACAAAAGTGGCCTATGCTATCAGAACTTCTGAGAGCAGCCATCCAGTCAAGAAAAGGGGTTAGAACTATTCCAAGAGACAGCCTTGGTAGTTTTAACTTAGCACATTCACTTAGCACAACGTCATCCTTTAGTGCCAGCCTGTTTAATAACCCATCATCTAGGGTCCTGCAGTGGGATTTAGCCAAAGTGCCCTTCAGCAGCATATAATTTGGTTTCAACATCAGGTTCACCATGAGAGCATATAAACACCACACATGTAATTTACAATTCATAAATAGAAAACACTGTCCAGTTGTTTTTAGAACACATCACCACTAGGGAAGCTATATAGAACGGAAATGCCACCAAGGTGTACAGCTGACTGGTTGTCTGCCATCTTAAAACTGACACCCTGCTCTGTGTTTAAAGAGGACATATGGGAGGGCCGGACCTCCTTACTGAGAATGTGGTACAAAAATTGGAAGGTTTCAATTTGTTCTTTCCCAACATTGTCAAGAAGCAGGTTTTCAAAAGAAAAAGGGAAAGAAGAAACTCCACAAATAGAGACCTACCCAAAAAAAGAACATGATAAATTTCACTTTCCTGTCTACATAAATAGAACATTTTTTTCTTTTCTTTTTAAGAAAGATGCACTGGAGTTCCAAAACAAAACCCAACAGCAAAGAAATAATCATCCATCAGTTCAGTAGCTTTGGTTTTAGAAAATTCTCCATCTCTCATATTAGACTTAAGTAACACTTGCTTTTTTAGTTCACAAACTTTTGTGTTGTTTACATTTTTAAACTTAAATCAGTTTGTACTATTTTTGTAATATTAATCTTTATCTGAGTGTTTCTTATTAGGTTCAAAATTAAGCAAAACTAGCTGGGTGTGGTGACACACACCTTAAATCCAAGCACTCAAGAGGCAAAGGCAGGGGGATCTCTGAGTTAAAGGCCAGCTATCCTGCTCCATACAAGCAGTTTCAGGCCAGCCAAGGCTGTATAGTGAGGCTCTGGTCTCAAAAAAGGGGCAGTAGGACTAGGACAGTTGTTGAGGTGGTTAAGAACACTTACTACTCTTCTACAGGACCCAAGTTCAGTTCTCAGCACCCATGTTTGACGGCTCACAACTGCCTATTAATTTTAGGTCTAGGATGACCCGATACCTCTAGTTTCCAAGGTCATCTGCATATTTGCATGCACATACCCCCACACATATATACATATCATTAAAAATAACAAATCTTATGCAAGCAAAACTAAACAGTAAAAAAAAAAATCACACTCATGTGAACTACGAAGTGTACAAAAATTTTTGAGAATTGACACTAAAGGACAAGAAAGAAAAGATGGCTCAGTGGTTAAGAATACTTACTGCCTACGCAGAGAACCCGAATTCAGATTCCAGCACCCATGTTGGGCAGGTCATAATCACAAGTAAATGCAGTCCAGGGGATCTGATCTCAGTGGCCTTAGAGAGTACTTGTACTCACATGCACACACACTCTATTGTCAGTTTTTTCGTTTTATGAGACAAGGTTTCTTTCTCTGTGGAGCACTGGCTATTCTGGAACTCTCTACATAGAACAGACTGGCCTCAGACTCACAGAGATCTACCTGCTTCTGTCTCCCGAGTGCTGGGATAAAGGGCCTATGCCATATGCACAGCTTTAAAAAGTTAAAAAGAAAAACTGACAGTAAAGATGCTGGAAAAACAACTCGGTGATGCAACGCATATAATGGGATCATAGACACTCAAGAGGTTTAGTTTTCCACACTCGTGTCAGTGGGTTCACGAATTCTTGTGACTCCAGCTCCAGGGAATCTAATACTCTCTTCTGGACTCTGCAGGCACCCATACTTACACACATATAATTTGAAAGATAAAATAAACATAAATGAAGAATTTTTTCAAATGATGCTAATGATGGATTACTTCCAGAAAGCAGTAAAGCTTTAGCAAGGATTACAGATGTCTAAAGGGGACTAACAATGAACAGTCCAAGCTATGGGAGTGCTCAGGAACTTGCTACATTTTTCATTGTGGTTTCCATGTGTGTTACATACCCATTTTTGCATGTAGCAGCCTATTTTTTTCCTTTTTTGCCTTTTCAAGACAGCATTTCGCTGTAGTTTCACAGCCTGTCCTGGAGCTAGCTCTTGTAGACCAGGCTGTCCTCGAACTCACAGAGATCCGCCTGCCTCTGCCTCCCAAGTGCTGGGATTAAAGGCACGCACCACCACTTCCCGGCTGCCTATTAGTTTTTAAGGCTTTCTAAGTAAGTGGTTAGAGACAGAAGATAGATGGTCAAGTCCCAGAACCTTACTTCTACCCTCAAAAATGCACATTCCTAAGTTCTATGGCAAGATAATAAGGCTACTTTCAAGCACCCAGGATGATACCAATGATGTCACAAATTTGCCACTGTGACACGAGCAATGTGTTGGTAGGAACATTCAGTTTCTGAAGATCATTATATAAAATCCTCATCCCACCATTAACGTTCTCCATTTTTCTGCTACACGCTCCAACTAAGGGCAGAAGCTAAGGGTAGGAATCAAGTGATATCACCTGAGCATGTCAATAGGTAGACAAAAAAATAAGCAGAGTCTAAGGATATAAGTCAATGGGAGAACTCCTGTCTATCATGATGATGAATGAATAAGTGAATGAATGAATGGTGGCGAATACAGCTTCCTGTAAGGCTTATGCCTCTTAAACCATGTGAATCTTAGTGTGTGGCACATAGACCAACACAAGAAACAACCTCAGGACATCACAAAATGGTATCACTTTATATCTCCACTTGTACTGAATGGGAGGACAGAATGTATGCAGTGATGTCTTTGGGATAATCCTTGGCAAAGAACACAGCCTTGGACTGATGATCTGGAGGTTTAAAAGAGAAACAGTTCACAAAAGCGAGTCCTCAAAGTTACAGTCATTAGTATTTGTACATGCTGCATTCTCATGGGACATTTCTATTAGTTTCCCACACTAAAGCACCAGTTCCCCTTAGCAAGCAAGCACAAAACTACCTACTCCAAACTGACTGCTTCACAGAGGATCCATACTTAAATCCCCTTCCCTTAGCCTCCCAGGTAGTTGGGCTTATAGGCAGATGGCACACTAGCTTGTTTTCACACTCTGTACTGGAGCAGAAGCCCTGTAGTGTAGTCCTGAATTAGTAAGTATTGTTGACATGGGCATTCCTCAGCCCCATGGAATGGAAAAGTCTTCCCCAGCTGGGATTCAAAGAGATGGTAATACCGTCTTTGAGGGTTTTAATGCTAGTGATTGATCAGTGTGTCCAAAACTAGCAACAACTTCTTCCCCACGGATGCTCACAACCTGAAACTGCTGACCTATCAGATACCTCCTACCAAGACAAGTTAATTTCTTTTCCCTGTGCTGTACATAATAAAACACACTGAGGTTCCAGGTTGCTTGTAGTAATTGGCTCAACTCTATCAGAGTGCGCACAGCCTACCTGACCCCAGCTTCTCCATGCATAGGTGTCCTGCTCTTTCTTTTCATCATTTTTCTCCACTCCTAGCCAGAACTCCAGATCCAACCTATGCATATCCTGGCAAGGCTCTGCTTGGTTATAAGATCCTAGAGCCTCATGTTTCCTCATTAACCTGCATGAGACTTTCTTCTAGTTGTGGAAATGTGGAGACAGGGGAATATGATAAACATGCTCCCAAAAGTCCAACTAACTAAATCTGCATTGCTTTTAAAGTACAAATCCTCGTCTGAGTCAGTTTCACCATCAACATCCTACCTAAAACAGAGGCCTACCAAAAGGAACAGAGGTCACATTTTAGACAGTACACTGCTCCTGGAGCACGAAACAAATGGCATGGCTGTTTACCAAGAAACTCAAACAGAGCAGGCAGCCACATTTGGCCTAAAGTGTATAGACCCCAGCTTTAAGGCACCATGTGCCCACAGGCTTTACACTCAGTGGGAAGGGAAGGAAAACCGGACAAGCTAGAACTTTAGGTGTCTTGTGTATTCTAAGTTCTTTCCAGCATTATCCTTCTCATAAAATAGTCAGAACAGACTAGAATCTGCAGATAAGTACTTTCAAGAAAAAAAGACTTCAAACTATTCTGGGTATTTAAATACACCAATAATCTTTAAAAGCAATTCATCAATTGGTACTAACAGTTGTACAGGAATAAGAAGTTCTGCCATGCAATTACACAGTATAAGGTAACTATAGCTAATGATTGTGTTCTGTACACTTGAAAATGTTCCAAGAAAGGAAGCTGAATGTTTTCTGCACAAACATGTGATATATGCTAAGAGGATATATGTGCTTAACCTGATTAAAAATTAGACAGTATATGCATGCATGCAAACATCACATGGTAACTCTGTAAATGATCATTTTTATGATTTTATAGATCAGTCAAAAATAAATTTATGTTAAAAATATAAACCAGCCTAATTGATGCATCTACAATAAAGCTCCTGAACCTAAGGCTCAGGGAGCATCACAGAAACGGTGCAGAAAGATTTTAAGAGTCAGAGGAACAAAAAAAATCTATTGTGACATTGTGTCTGTTAGAAATGCTATGGAAGCTACACCCATGATACTACAATAACATGGCTGCCAAAATAACACCTGAATGAGGATGACACGAATAGACACGTTTCATGGGGCCCAACCCTAGACAAAGAACTACAGGCAACTAAGGAATGCTGAAAGCAGGAGAAATAGTCTTCCCCAGGGAAGAGCACACCAATTGGTTATCTAGTACCACATGGTCAGTCCTGAAAACTGTGTGTGTGTGTATGTGTGTGTGTGTGTGTGTAACAGTATACAGAGTGAGAAGGTTGTATTTACATATATATGCACAAGTATATGTGTATCTGTGTGTATGTATGTATCTAACAATTAAAGAAAAAACAGGCCATGAATTTGACAGAAAGCAAGGGGGGGGATACATGAAAGGAATTGGAAGAAAGGGAAGGGGGAAATGATCTAATTACAATATGATTTTCAAAAAATATTTACAATAGAATGTACTGGGGCTGTGGCGATGGCTCAGCAGGTAAGCACACAGCTGCTCTTCCAAGGGACTGGAACTCAGCTCCCAGCACCTACTTGAGGAATCTCATAAGGTCCTGTAACTCTAGCTCCAGATCTGACACCTCCAGCCTCTACAGCAAGCCACACTCACATGCATATATCCAGAGACACATGCACATAGATAAAAATAAATCTTTAAAAGTAAAAGGAGCATATAGTATTCAGCAAAATTCAAAGATATACTTTAATAAAATGAATTACTGAGAAATCAATACAATATAAAGTTGGTCATAAGGTAAAGTCTTTTTAGGGGATGGGAATTATGTACACAGGACAAAAGACATAATTCTGCTTAAGATGGTCCATATTAAAAATAATAACTCCTTATTTCAGTAAAAAAAATACAAAGGGTTAGTTAGAGTTTACATGTAATAGGATGAGCAATACTCTCCAATAAACTCAGAGAATTCCTAGACCAGAGTGCAAGGGTTGAACTTGATTATTACTTATTTTGTGTACCAAGTAATGAGACTGGATTAACAATTAGATGCCTTTGTCACTTTTTAGGAAGAAATGTATTTTCCTATATACACCTATTTTTTACAAAACCACAAATGCAAACCTTCTTTAAAGTTAAGAATACCCTTAAGAATGAAAGTTAAATTTTTTTAATTAAAATATAATTTAAATTTTTTTAAAAAGAATGAAAATAACTACAAAGAAAAAATCTACTTCTATATGGTGTCTGCAGCTCACACTACAGGCAAAGCTGCTCATCAAGAAGGGTGTGCTGTTAAATGGGCTTTTCCCTAGAGATATACCCAGAAGATGGGGAAAGAGGGAAGAAACTGTGGTCTGTATCTCCACCTGCTGGCGACATTTCATACTACAGTCAGGGCCAACAAAATCAGGATAATATTGTCTTCTGCTGTTAAGTAATATCTCAGGATAACAGATTAACTACTTTGAAATGTACTGCTTGAACGAGTATAATTCAAAGATATTGTTGTTCTCCTGACATATGTAAATTTCAAGAACATGCAGTCAAATATGCAAATATTGACTCTTTTTGAGGGTCATAGGAGTAAGGGTGGGGACTGAGAGGTCTACCTGTGTGAAGTATTTCCCATCCTGTTTCAGTACTTTCATTGACAGGTCAAGAATCAGTCTGAGAAACTCCCATGTGGAATCTGGATGTGGAAAAAAAATAAGTTTTGTAAATATGTTCAAATATTTGTAAATGTTATCAAATATTCAGTCATAGTCAATAAAACAAAAAGGAAGAGGCCCCAGTGTGTTGGCACATGCACAAAGTGCCATCATCATCCTGGCACTTTGGAGGCAGAGGGAAGATCAGGAGTTAAAGAGCATCACTGGCTACATAGTAGCTTTTAGGTCAGCCTGCACTACATGAGACTAATTTAAAGGTGCATATGCTTAAAAGTTTGCTCATGAACAATAAGGTACAATCATATAGCTGGTCTGTACAAACCCCAACACAAACACCGAGGCCAGGATCAAGTCTGCATCTATTTAAGACAGACAGTATGTGACCAATAAAGACTTAGCATAGGGACTGAGAGTGTAGCTCAGTGGCAGTTTGTTCATCCGCAGGAAATCCTGGGTTTCATCCCCAGCACCGCTCTCAGATAAAGAACAAAGATTAGACACAAAGGCAGAGCTCAGTCTGAAAGAAAGGAAGTCAGTAACATTTGCTGAGAAGCTGAGGAAATTCCTGGTTATGGAAGACACAGAATGCTGCACCCTCCTTAACAGCCATTCATTGCCTACCTGTGTCAGACCTAACCTCCTTGAGAATATTCCAGACCTTTGTTCATATGTATTAACTTAACAGAACACACTAGCTTCAGCCAATGCCTCAACTAAGTATGTCTTCAGAAAGTTTCCAAAATTCCTCCAGCAGAGGTTACCCTGCTTTGCTGTAACCCACTTCATGTTGCCACCAATGTATTTGAAATATGCCTTGATTTGTGAATTTCTTTTGTTCTGCAACTATAAAAACATAAAACTGCTACCACATTGGAACATACTACTTACACTAATCTGAATTCATGTTCCCTAACCATGATCGCTCATATTTAGTTCCAGAACACTCTTACACTCTTTGAGGTATAAGCTGTGTTTTCACATTAGGGAAAGGAAAAAAATTAAAGCCACGTTAAAAATCCAGTCACCTTCCCATCATCAAAGCTAGTTCAAGTGCTTTTAACAACTAAGAGGAGCTGAGAAAATGGCTCAGCGGGGAATGTACTCGCCATGCAAGTGTACGAATTTGAGTTTGACCGCCAGTACCCACACATAAAATGAGCATGGTGGCATGTACTCTGCAATCCCAGTGATGGGGAGAGACAGGATTCCTAGGGCTTGCTGGCCAGCCAGCATTTCCTACTTGATGAAAGTTCTAGGCTCAGCAAGAAACTCTTTCTCAAAAAAATAAAGTAGAATGAAATTTAAGAAGATATTCAGTGTTGAGCAGTGGTCTTCACACATGTGTGTGTGTGTGTGTGTGTGTGTGTGTTAATAAAACGCACACATTTGTGAACATGTATATGTATAGTTTAAAACACTGCCATACGGTGGTGGCACATGCCTTTAATCCCAGCACTTGGGAGGCAGAGGCAGGTGGATCTTTGTGAGTTTGAGGCCAGCCTGGTCTACAAGAGCTCACTCCAGGACAGGCTCCAAAGCTACAGAGAAACTCTGTCTCGATAAACAAAAACAAAAACAAAACAAACAAAAAAAGAGTTCAAAATACAATCAATCTACCTTCTTCTGGAGATGTAGAGATCGGGACAGCTGTCAAATCATTAATCACATAATCAAACTCTCTCCCTTCTTTGGCGTACCTCTTCAGTACTGGAATACAGTCTTCTATGAGGACCTTTCAGAATGAACAGGATTAGATACATGAGTCAACACAAATGGATGGCACTGAACACTTATAAATAGGAAATGAAAGCTGGGGATTAAATTCACAGCACCAGCACCAAAGAGACCTTTCACCCCTGTCTGTTAATAGAAAAACAAAGTCTCAACCATATGCCTATATCCTTTCTCATCTGAGTAATCAACCCCTCTATGGGTGCTATTGCTCCCTTCATTGACTGAAACACAATCTTATTTTAAAAGATAGGCTGATCCATAGGCTGCGCACAGAGCCTTGATAAGAAAAGAGGACAGTCAGGTGTGGCAGCCAGCCCCTATTAATTCCAATTCTTGGAAGGCTAAGACAGAACGAGTGCTACTCCACAGGTTTGAGAACAGCCTGGGCTGTATATTGAGTTCCTGGCAGGAAGGAGGAGGGAAGACTACAGTGTAAGAAGTTAAATATGGAATTTGGTATCTTTGAAGACTTTTATTGTCCTATTGTTTTATAAAACTTAATATCTTGCAGAAGTTGCAGTAGGCAAAAGCAGACAAAATGTGAACACCCAGCTACATAGAGTTTGAGGCCAGCCTGGACTACGTGAGATTTTTGTCTCAAAAAAGAAAAAAAAAAAAACACCTCAACTAACTAAAATCCATACATTCATCTAATCTGAGAACATGCCTAGCATATGTATGAAAGTCAGGATTTGATCCCAGCACCACAAAAAAGTTCATTTGACACTCTCACAATCTGCTTTCTTCACTAAAATTTAACCTATGTACATCATCCCAAAGATGGACAATAAACTACTCCATCTCACTTCAAATGTTCTATTCTTGTCTTCAACAATCCTCTATGAACAGTCATATTAAACCCCTCACTTCCCAATTTAAAAGCTAAATTTTCCTTTGTATCTTAGTTTCCAAATCGAAGGACTAAGTTTACTGAATCTCCCTTTTCAATGGTTTCTAGGGTTAGCTGATTTAGTTCTCAAGCAAGTGGGTAGTCTAATATGTCAGCATCACTTACTAAATTTTTACCCATATGAAATGAAATGTATCATGGGCCTGGCGTGGTGGCGCACATCTTTAAATCCCAGCATTAGGCAGGAGGCAGAGGCAGGCAGATCTCTCTAAGTTTGAGACCAACCTGGTCTACATACAAAGCAAGTTCCAGGGCAAGGCTGTCTG